TACAATTATATATTCTATTGTAAAACTATTGTAGTGGGGCCTGTCCAGCATTAGGATTAGAAATTGTTGGACATGGTGGTACATGCTTTTAATCTCAACCCATTTGAGGCTGAGGCAGGAGGATGACAAGTTCAAGGCCAGCCTTGACTACAACAGAGAGTCTGGCCAGCTGGGCATTATACAGTGAGACTAAAACTAAAAGATTTGGTGTTTAAAAGCTGAGTTGGTGGCTTCATTCACATGTGTACTAAATGTGTACTTGTATGTAACAGTGAGTCAAGAGCAAGGAGCATTACAAGGAGTTACAGGAAGGTCTCCTAGGGACCTTGAATGTCCACCCTGCTCTCGGCTACAGGTTAGAAGAGATGATCCTGTGCCTAGGTGTTGGATCCCCTGAGCACTGTGGTGGGCAGAATGGACAACCTCCAGGAGATGATTGTGAATCTCTTTACTGGGGAGCGGCTGCCCCAGAGAGGTCTAGACAGCACCTTATACAAGGCTTACCTTGAAGATGGTGTTGTCTCCATCCTGGCTGGGACCATGCCTTGTGGCATGGCGCCAGGGGATATAGAAGAGTTTCCTTTCCCCATTGACCCACTGAAGTCCTGGGTACTGGCAGCTGTTCACCTGGGCCACCAACCAGGGCTTCAGCCTCACACGGCGTGGTGGTGGGGCAACCCCCGGGGCTGGCTGGTTCATGGCAAAGGGCTCTGCAGGAGAAAGCAAAGTGGAGTTCAGCAGATTCACATCAAGATGCTCCATGCCCTGAGGAGGCGTCATGGGGATGTCTCTCCAGTCCATTTGGGTATCTGAGGCCAAGCCTGCTTTCCAACCATCAGCTTTCTCGACAAGGCTCACTCAACCGATGATTTCTGTTAGGGGAGAAGGAGATTTCTGTGCTAGTGGGTACTGTGGGTCCCTTCCTTCAATGGACCATCCGTTTTCCAGGTACGATCAGTACCCAGCTGCTGCTTTACTGGAGGATCGCCCCAGTTGTCCCAGGTGAAGCCACCCATCACTCTGGAGTCACACACAGTCAAAGCTGGCTCCCTTGCGTGGCGGTGGGCTAACAGGCGACGGGCACTGGGGTTGGCTCTTCCGCCACGCCCCGTCCCTCCTGTCGCTGTTCAGCCTTTCCCTCTGCAGCTTATTCAAACCCCTTCCCCCGAACTGCCCTTCCCCATGCCCAACAAATCCTCTAAACTAGAGTCCTACCTCAGGCTTCTGACAGAGGCCCGCTTCAGACAGAGGCAGACCGTGTGGATGGGGGGGGGGGGGGGGAGCTCATGCCCAGCTCACAGAGCTCTTCCGTCACTTTTTGGCCTTTTGGCCAGGACCGCGTGCCGCACGGGTATTGCTCCTCAGTGTCTCTCAGGGATGACGCTTTCTTCCCCCTTGACCTCTACAGAAATCCCACTAATCCACAGATGTCACTGGGCACCCAGCTTAGATGGCACCACCCTGAAGCCATCCATGTCCTAGCTTCGGTTCCTGCTGCTTTTCTCACATCGTTCGGTGCTCAGGAAGCCTCTAGAGCAGAGGTTCTCACCCTTCCTGGTGCTGTGACCCTGTAACACAGTTCCTCACGTTGTGCTGACCCCTCCCCCCATAAAATGAGTTTCCTTGCTACTTCAGAACTGTAATTTTGATACCATTGTGAACTGTAATGTAAAGCTCTGCTATGCAGGATATCTCACATGGGACCCCTGTGAAAGGGTCGTTTGATCCCCAGAGGGGTCACAGCCCACAGGTTGAGAAATACTGCTCTAACGTTTACAGACTTGTGTCACACACATGGTGGCAGGAAGTACAGCCCAAGGCCTACACTGGAGGCAAGCCCCCACGCAGGCCACAGTCTCTGCCTCCCTAGAGTCAGGTCCCCAGGACACACGCACCCTGGTGCCCTCCCCTTCACCTGCTCACTCTCTTCTAGACAGAACCTGAGACTTGCAACAGTCTAGTGCTCCCTCTTACCCACCCTCACTCCTGGGAAGGTCTCTCCCTCCCTTGTCCAGGCCTTTGGTCTTGAACTCTTGAACCCAGAGGCAGAGGCAGAAAAGAGGGAGGCCACCGTGCCACCAGCTCCTTAGAAAGGAGTCACTGTTCAGCAAGTTAAGGAATAAAATTGAGCAGGCTTGCTTGGGATTTGCAGTATGGAGCCTCAGTTTCCCCTGCAATCCCCGGCTGCTGCATGCCACATCCAGGCCAGCAAGAGTGTCACGCTACAGACTTGAGAGCAGTGCATAGCTCAACTGTCAGTGACCCGTGAAGAGCAATGCCAGCTTTGGACGGGCAGGGTGCAAAGGCTCCCAGCCCTGCCCCCAAGCTTAAGAAGACAGTGGCTTAGTTCCTCTTTCTACACCAGCCTCCACCCTGACCTAAGGGAAATGAAAGTGGCCTAATGGGACAACTCAGAAATCTGACTCACTGGACTGACTTGTGGGCTGGCGGAGGGAGGGGACGTAGAGAATATTCGTGAGTCTCTGCAAGCCCATCTCTGGATCATTCCCTGGCTCTAAGCCTACTGACCTTCACCCGTGTCTCTAGTTAGCTCTCAAGAAGCTCTGATCCTCGAATGGAGGGAGCAGCCGGCAGTTATGACCACAGGAAAGTGGACACCAGGATAGGCAAGTTACCCTTAAGACACACACACACACACACACACACACACACACAGAGTCCAGCCAGCTGGCCAAGGGTGGTATGAATAGGGAGACCAGAAGGACTCACTCCCCTGCTCCATGCCTCAGGGATCAAGGAGCCAGGGACCACTGCGGCTTTCTGCCCCAGCCTGATGTTTAATTCAGAGAAAGGTTTTGAAATTGTTACTCTGGCCTCAGTGCTAGGAAGGGACAGTCCCTTCAGATGGAATAGGGACACAGAGAAAAGACCCCACAGCAAGCCAGGCCACCAGGGCCAAGAGAGGGTGTATTCACTTAGCCACAGAAGGTTCCACCTGCAGCTAGGTCCACAGGATCCTTCCCCTGAGCAGGACCAACTTCAGCATCCATCCCCCGAAAATATCCCTTCTCCCCAAGAGAAGGCTTAGATCTGAGTCTGATCCTGTTCTCAATTTCAGTGTCTAAACATGGCTGCCTTCTCCTGGGTTTGGAGGAAGATGGATGCAACACCCAGACTGAGATTTGTGACTATCAACCTGTAAAGGAGAAACCAACAGAGGCGCTACCATCTTCCACGGAAGTGTCAAAATGGGTATAGCCTGCTGAAAACCCAAGGGAGCATCCCACATATAACTAGGCATGGAGGCATCCTGAGAAGCAGTCCTTGAATTCCAGCTAAGATGAGGAGTCCCCCCAGCTCACTCCAGGGTCCTGAAGTCCCAGGAGAGGCCACCTGGGCAGTCAGCTCACTGAGAGTTCCCGAGGGCTGGTGGGGAGAACTTCAAACCCCTCCTGTCTCTCGGATTGTCTGGTTCTAAACCCCACACCCAGTTCAAGGAACCTGCAAGGGGTTACCTGTATCAGCCTAAGTCCCGCCCTCTCCAGGTGAGTGACACACCCGGGCCCTGCCCCTACCGAGTGCAGACAGGCTTGAGATTCTGGGGCAGCAGGTGCGGCAGGAAGAACCCTCTCTCAGCTTCCTCCCAGGGGCAGGTTGGGGGAAGGCCAGAGTGCAAGGGAAAGCCCCGAAGCAGCATTTTTAGTTATAAGGGGTGGTTTCCTACCTCTTTCCTAGTCCTAAACCAGGAGCGGAAGGAGTAGGGACGGATACAAGGTCCTCACCTGAAGGCCCCCAGCTTCTCCAGCTTCCTCCGTCAGCCCAGCCCACGTCCTTTCTGGTCCCTCGTGATCATCCCTGCAGGTTCCACCCGGGACAGAACGTGGGGGCTCTCTGAGTCAGCCCCTGAAGTCACCTCAGGGTTCTGGCTTAGTATCCGTTCCTGGACCGTTCCTCTGGTTGGGGATGCCCCATTCTGCTATGCCAAGAGGAGGCTAGGGAAGCCCCAACTTCCACCCCTGCTCCTAGGTACCCGCTCTGGGCCCTCTAGGGGTTTGAGACACCCGCGCTGCGGTTGGATGCCAACCCAGGCCATCTCCCCGCCTGTGTTGCGGCCACACTGCTAACACTTCTCCACTTTCAGATTCTTAGTTGTTTCCTTCTTAAGTTTAGGGGCAGGCCGTCAAGAAACCAGACCAAGCATTTGCGCCCCCGATTCTTCTTGATTGCTAAGAAAATTGGCGTCCTTTTGGAGCCACGAGTCAAGGGGTGGCGCCACTATTTGACACCATCTCCCCCCAAACCCTGTTTCCACAAATTCCTGTCCTGGCGTTTAAGATCCTAGGGAGGGGTGACTGTTGGAACCTCCACCTCTTACTCGAAAAGGTGAGGTGCGGCAGGGGAGGAAGGACGGACTGAAAGGGGTCAGGGCCGGAGCCTCGCTCCTCGGTGCCAGACTGGGGCCCTGCGCCAGGGCGCTTCGCATCCTTGACCCTGGCCTGGCGCGGCAGTGATGCGCGCTCGTCCCTCGCCTCTCGGGGCTTTCCCTGGGCCGGTGGGACGATGGAGGCCGGAGCCCTGCACCACGGGCTGGCCAAGGTGTGGGTCGCCTTGGAGACTTTGGCGTCGGTGGGCGCTGCCCACCGCGAAGAAGCGGGATCGCGACCCCGCCGGCCCTCCTGGCAGGCGTCCCCGGGGGCACAGGCCACCTCGGGGCGAAGCAGTAGCTCGGGACGGTTCCCACCGCTCTCCGGGCGCGGGACCCAGCACAGCCCACAGCTCCCGGACCTACCTGTCTGCGGTGCGCCCGCGGGGAGCCAGGAGCCCCGGCCGGGCGCTGCGGCCGGTCTGAGCCCTCGCCGAGCTGCGTCTCCCGCGGGTCGTCGAGCCCGCCCCGCACTTCCGCATCGTGCCGCCCCCGCCTCGGGCAGAGCCCCGCCCCGCCCCACGCAACCACCCCGGGTCCCCTGCACCGACCCGGCCACCGCCCACCGCGAGGAGCGCTAGCCAGGCCCAGGGCCTCGCCGACCTCGTAGACAGCTCGGCGGCCCGCACGGGGCTCCTTCGGGAATCCGGAGACAAAGTCGCCCATCACCCGGTAGCCCGTCCCCACCCAGTCCGCGCCCGCCTGGAGCTGGAGATCCGCTGTGCCCAGGCGTCAATGGAGCCACACTTTCCAGGGCGTTTCGAGGCGACTGAAAGCACCCCCCACCCCCGGCCCTCCGCTCCCTGTTTCCCACCGCGACCAAGCCGCAGGCTGCGGTACCCAGAGCCCCCTTTCAGCATACCCTGGGTCACTGTCTCTTTTCAGCCTACCAGCCGGCTCCGACTCAGAATGTGGCTGCTGCGATCCCGCCTCTTCTTTGGCCCCGACCTTCACCATGGGTTTGCATTTGAACTTTTTTTTTTTTTTCGGTTCCATAAACCCGCCTCGCGGCCGATGCCCGCCTCGCGGCCGATGCCCGCCTCAACCTGCACACATCCTGACTTTCACTCTTCAGCTTTGGGGTCAGCATCACATTGTCTGGGAGTCTAGGTGGCTTTTCTGGAAGGTTCTAGGCTTTGAGTCAGCTTCTGGTTGTGTTGTGTTTGGTGTTATTTGTTGGTTTGTTTGGGGGTGGGGGTGTAAATCAAGGGACAACTTCTCAGAGTCCTGGGGATTGAACTCAGGTTGTCTTGCTTTGTGGCAAGTGCCTTTATCCAATCAACGATCCATTTCACAGGTCCCAGTTTGTGATTTTAATGTCCGATTTCCACTGAAATTCAGCTTAATGGGGACCAGTCCTGTCTTGCACCATTCATGACCTGTGGTAATTTTTATTTTTATGTTTATTTGTTACTGATGGTGGACCTTCACATGCTTGGCAAGTGAATACCTGCCTGCTCTGCCCACCATCATTTTAAAAGGTTATTGTGTTTGTTTGTTGGATTTTTTTGTTTCTTTTTTCGAGACAGGGTTTCTCTGCAGCTTTGGAGCTTGTCCTGAAACTCACTCTGTAGACCAGGCTGGCCTCGAACTCACAGAGGTCCACAGAGGTGCTGGAATTAAAGGCGTGCGCCGCCACCGCCTGGCGGACTTTTTCTTTTCTTTTTGTCTTTTTTTTAGGAAAAAGATCCGTTGCCTGTGCTGCTCTCCAACTCCTGGAATCAAGCAAATTTCCTGGCCCAGATTCCCTGAGTAGCTGAGATTTCCGGTGCAGCATCACAAGAAGCTTAACTAAAGATAGATATACGTATGTATGTATATTTAATTGTATATATATTTTACCATCTTAATACTTTTTAATGATTTGTTTATTTTTATTTTGTGTGTGTGCGTATTTTGTCTGCATTATGCACATCATGAATATGCAGTGTCTGCAGAGACCAGAAGGGGAGTTAGACCTGTGGAACTGGAGTTACAGACAGTTGTGAGCCAACAGGTGGGTTCTGGGAACTGAACCCAGGTCCTCTGCAAGAGCAGCAAGTGCTTTTAACCACTGAGCCACCTCTCCAGCCCTGAAGAAGATACTTTTAATAAAGAAATGTTCTGGCCGGGCAGTGGTGGCGCACGCCTTTAATCGCAGCACTCGGGAGGCAGAGCCAGGTAAATCATTGTGAGTTCGAGGCCAGCCTGCACTACCAAGTGAGTTCCAGGAAAGGCACAAAGCTACACAGAGAAACCCTGTCTTGAAAAAAACAAAAAAACAAAAAACAAAAAAAATTAATAAGGGACTCAGAAAAAAAAAAGAAATGTTCTGAATTAATTGTTAAACTACATTTTTGTTAAATTTATCTTGTATGTTTATCTGTGGGTGCACATGAGCATGCATAAGTCAGAGGACAACTTGTGGAGTTATTCAGCACCCTCCTTCACCATGTGGGGCCCAGGGATTAAACTAAGGCTGTCAAGCTCGGCAGCAGTCTCTTTTGCCTGCTGAGCCACCTTGCTAACGTGCCCCACCCTCGTTGTTCACTTTCAGATAGCAAATAAAATACATACGTTCGAGATATGCTGTTTACCCTTTACATTTCAGAGCCTTGAGTTGCTAACAGACACAGTGGCACTGTTCAGCTGAATTAGAATTTTGGCTTCTCGTCCACCTCTGCTGGCTTTCCAGGAATGTCTGGACTGGGCTTCAGTGAGTAGAAAGAATCTTTCGGGTTTATTTTGCGTTTCCTCCCCTCCCCTCACTGTAGCCCGAATATAAAGTGGAAATATGTACTATTTGTATCTGCCGAATACAGCACTATCTCAGGTATGCTAGGCACCCTACCATTGAGCCACACCACCTTCTGTTTCATATTTTTAAATTTAAGCCATGTGTGGATCCAGTCGTGTGGGCAGCAGCTAAGCCAACCTTGGACTGCAGAGAGAGACCTTTTCTCGAAAAGTAAGTAGTGAAAGGGGTGAATGGGTCGGTTTTCTTTCTTTTTCTAAAATTTCATTCATTCTTTCAAATTTCTTTTTATTGCATTTATTTATGTGTGTGCATGTTCCTATATGTATGTGTGTATGCACACAAGCATGCATGCCGCAGCGTAAGTGTGGAGGTCAGAGGACAACTTTCAGGAATTGGTTCTCTCCTTCCACAATGCGGGTCCCGGAGATTAAAATCAATCTGTCAGGTTTGGTGGCCAGTACCCTTACCTGCTGCGTCATCTCTCCAACCACCACACCACCTCTTCCCCCCTCCTCCGATTCCTTCTTGTCCCCTTTCATCTTAATAAGAGAGAGTTTCTATGCAGCCCAAGCTGAGGTGGAACTTGCAACCCTCTTCTCTCAGCCTCCAGAATGCTAGCATTGCAGGCGCCACCACATCCGACTTTTTCACTAGAACAGAGAACATCTTAGGCAGGCATGAGCAATACCAACATGCAACAGGGTGTCAGAAGTTCCGCCGTCATCCCTGACTATGTAGTGAGCCGGTGGCCAGCTTTAGCTCCATGAGAGCCTGGCTCACGGCAAACTGCTGGCGTCCTGTGGGGGCATTTCCCCACACCCCAATAGTTGGAGGGCTGAAGAGAGGATGGCTGAGGGTCCGAGGACAGAAAAACTGCTACAGAATTGAATGCTGTCCTCCACAAAATAAGAATCGCTTTCATTGGAGGTCAGTTACATCTGGCTGTGGTAGGGACTGAACTTTGTGCATGCTAGGCAAATGCTCCACCACAGGGCATTCTCTCTTTTTTCTCTTACGTTTAAGAGAAAAATATTCTGTTGGTTTAGAAATGTGTCTGGGGTAATGGCCAAGAAAAGCCTTTTTATTGTCAAATGTTCCCAACACACACACAGCCCCGGGGACCATGAGCTTCCAGGCATTCTGTACCATGTCCCCATCCACTCTCTATTTTTCCCAGTTGAGGCCCACCCATAGAGCCTTGGAACGCCACCAAGAAGCAGCAGGGACTCTGTGCAGCAGAGGCGCCATTCATAATACACATCCTTGGACAGACCTTGCGTGTCGGGAGGAAGGAGGGGTAGTGCTCGTTCAGCGAGCAGAACTCCAGCGCTTCCAAGAAGGAAGGCTGGACTTCTCTAGACTTCTTGCAGCATCACAATCGAAGGGGAAGTGAAGCCCCGCTCTGCTGCTCGAGACCAATCTCAGTTCCTGTTGCTCAGTCAGGGGCCGGGGAGGGTGCAGAGAGACTTGGCCTCTGCAGTCCCCCGAGCTCATGAAGAGCCCTGGTGACTCCCCACCAGTGACATGACCCTCTCACTCACTTCCTCTGAGCATGTGATAAGAGGTACGTTTGTGTGCTTTGGACAAAGCCATGGTATGAGTAGAGGCACAAAGTGGGTTAGAGGAAGCCATGCCACCAGAGGGAACCGAAAGAAACCCAGGGTAGCGGCGACGGAAGGAGAGCAGAAGCACAAGGAGAAGCCAAACTGACTCCCACCGCCGCCGCGGCCCACTGCAGGTAGGGCCTGGCAGATGCCGGCTGCCTTTGCTGCCCAGCACCTCCCTACAGGAACCCCAGGCTTTGCAGGGTCTCCAGGCTAGCCTGTTTGCCAGACACACCACATTTCCGAGAACTCACGAGCTGGACATCAGACTGAGTCCATTTGGGGATCGAATCCCAGATCTACCCTCCAGGAAGTGTGAGACATGACACACCTCCTCTGCTGGACCCCCCTCTCCATAAGTGAGAAGACACACTCCTCTGCTGGAGGCCCCTCTCCATCTGTAAAGTGAGATGGTCTTATCCCTGTCACAGATGGAGAATGTCAGGTTGCTTGCTAAATCAAGCACCTTGCGCCTGCCAGGACAGAGTGTGGTAAACAAATCTATTCTGTCCCAAACCTACTGTCCCAGAGCTTCCAGTCTATGGGTTGAGACAATTAGATCAACCCCTGCCGGGCAGCGCCCTGGGAGAAGTGTTGTGGGCCACCGCAGGGGCGGCTTTGCTCAGGGTCAGCGGAGAACTCAGAGCTGAGACAGATGTAACCCAGCTGCTCTGGCCTGGAACTTTCCAGTGGTTTTATGACCTGTGCTGTGGACGCTGCTGTCAGAGCTTCCTCTCTGTTTTTACTAACTGCTGCCTCCTCTGAGCCTTCTGAGGTATGACTTGGAAGTCCCCCATTCAGTCAGAGCTGTCACATGGGCCCTCCAGACCTGAGGTCCTCACCTTTGCCAACCCACACTCAGTCTCTCTTCCACAACCTGGGGCCTAGGAAGTTGTGCAGACACCACTTCATCCCGGGGCTGGCTCTCTGTCTTACTAAAAAAAGAAATGCTACTTCCCTTTCTTTCCCTAGCTGGTCGCTTCTCCTCTCCCTCATGTCCTGAGCGGACGCCATTTTGACTTTACCCCTTCGCCTGGGCCTGGGACTTGCCAGCTCAAGTTGGCCCTAAGCCTTCAGGAACACACCCCCCCCAACTCCAGTATTCCTGACCTCACCTCTTGGAGCTCCCAATTTAAACTCCCACATCCAGGGTTGTTTTTTTATTATTCCCTTTAATGGCTGTGGCAGAGATGTCTCCCTTTCCCCTGGGATTCCTCTCCTGTTGCCCTTCCTTGGGCCACCTAGCGTTAGCACCCTCCCCACTTTTGACCTGCTTAGAAAGGCACCCAGACTCCGGTGGGTTAGATGGCCACCCTTCCCACACTCCCTGAACTTGGTCATAGAATCTGCTAAACTCAGCATAAGCATTGCCCCACACACTTCCCTCCCCATCGCTGGACTCTGTCATCGAAGGGACAGGGCCTCCCTGTTGGCACCCGTCTAGAGGACAGGCTGTGGTTCATGCAGCAGGTACCCAGCAGGGAGGAAAGGGGAGAGGAGGAAGTCCGGATGACCTTCTGGGACACCTGCAGTGGTCATGGGTGGGCCTCACACAGGAACCGGCTGAGGAGCTCCTCAGAGTGAAGAAAGCAGAGAACCTGGGAGCTAAAGGCCCCGGGGAGGCTTGCAGCCAGGGCCCTCTCCTTTCTTTGGTGCTTTACAGGAAGAGGAGGGTGCCAGGCCTCACTAGAGTGGACTAGAGTTGAGCCCTTTGAAGGCCAGTGTCCTGCATCCTCGGTGTTTTTTGCAGTTTTCTAAGCTAAGATCCTGATGCCCAACCAAACTGTGGTGGTGTGGGCACACTGGACCATGAAGGAGCTGAAGGGCCTAGAGAATAGGGAGACCCTTTGCCCATGTGGGTGGGTCCTTCCAACAAGGCCTTTCCTGTTTCCCAGGCTCCATTTCCTCACCAGTACTTCCGAAGTCACAGAGGTGCTGCCAGGCCTGGATGGCTTGACCAGGAGTCATTTCTGGAAGATGGAGATGCAGGGAGGGTGGGAAGAAGAGACTTCCCCGGCTCGGGCCTCTTCCACAGGCCTCTATACCAGCTGCGCGGGGGG